CATTTTGAATTTCGAATTGCCAAAAAATTGTAATTGTAGGCAATTTACGAAAAGGTTATATACCTGAAATAAACTTGCGACTTAATAAGCATGTTAAAAGTAAAACTAAAGGTTTTTTTCTTGTGTCGTGAGTATGTTTACAGAATATATACTAATTCACATACACAAGTCACCCAGACTCGAATCAACAATTTGTGGATCTTAGTGTTGTTCCGTGCACGAATCGAAGCCGCGACACGTTGAATTTAAATTTGTATTTAGATTAAAAGTCAACGTTATTTTTATTCCGATGGAATTCCATTTCTCTGACTAGTACCCGAAAAAAGTTTGATATTTAGATATTATATAGCAAGATACAAATTCAAAATTTCGATAACTTCTAAACTATTACAAATTATTCTGTGACTATCGGGAGCAACTATTTAAAACACTCCAAGGCACGGGAGTGATACAAATTGTCGTTTAAACACATTGCAAGCGAAAATGGACAAGCGAAACTTAACATTAAGGTTCTTCGGAGAATTCCTGAAGTTTCTGTTAAAGTGAGAAGTTTTTTATAACATTTAATAGAGTAGAGGTCTCCATTACATATTAACATCATCAGTCTATAGTGCCCACTACTGAGCAAAGGCCTCTTCTCACAAGAAATTTTGAGCATAATATAATCACCACGCTTGCCCCAGGTGGATTGGTGATTTCAAATTTATAATTAGTAATTAATTAGCGAAAGAGCAAACGGATTACCTGATAGCAAGCAATTGGCGCTGGCAACGTAGGCCCGTAACATTAGAGGATTCTCGACTATATCCGGCTTTTTGAGGATTAGGTCTTCGAAGATTTAAAGAGGAAATTGGGGAGGGATGGGTGATGGGGATGAATTAAACTGTTCATTCAGTACGGGGTTCGGACACTGGCACCATGTTGTTGGTTCGATTCCTGCAGGGAACAACTCTTTGTAGGATTCAAAACTTGTTTTTTAGGGTCTAGATGTTAAGCATATGTGTGAAAATGAATGTTTGTAAACGAACCCATGAAAGTAAAAAAAAAAGGTAAAGGTCAAATCATTTATCTATTTAAATTATATCATTTTTCAGCTACGCAACGTATTTTAATACGGTTTGAAGTGGTACGTTTATGAGTGTAATAAAATACATATAATAGTGTAAAAAAATAAGTATCAGTATAGCCCCCGTGCGAAGGAGGAATGGGTCACTTGTTTTAAATACATAAATACAAAAAACTAATTGACCAACTAGCATCACTGCACAGGGAAACGAGAAAATGAGCAAAGTGAATTCCTGGATTATTTACTTTGTTACTGTTGGAGTTCATTCACCTCTGGGTTACAAACAGTCTCCGACCGTAAATAGACATAGTAACTTATGTAATTAAAATGGCAACGCAGAACAAATTAAGAGAACCTACTGCAACTGTAGTGGTGACCCAATTAAACCTACTTTGTAGTACTGAGATTGTTAGCATTCTGCAATCAAAGGAGTTATTTGAAAATAATCTGTTTTGCATACGTACTACACGATGAGTTGTAAAATAAAATTGGAAAAGAAACTTATTATTCTTTAATCGATGTTTATAGGAAATGTTAAGTTTCTGACTCTTACCTAAGAAAATATCTATTAGTTTCAAGTCACACGGGACTTTAATTCATGACCAGCCTGCGCGTCGCGGCGACGGAGACGAGTTGGCTGTGCGACGTAATTTTTTTATACTTGTATATATCGCGAATGATTTTAGGTTCAGTATTTTCTCAGGATTTTTCAACTTAAAAGTATGTATGAAAAACTGTGCAATGTATCTGATGCATGCTCATAATGCGTGACAACATCACTACATAGTCACCTTTAGCCCTATGTAGGCTTAAATCTTTAAAACTACGCAACAGATTTTGATGCGGTTTTTTAATATATAAAGTGATTGAAGAGTAAGTTTAATATGCATAATAACATTGTTTTTATAATAACTATCGTAAGACATACTAAATTAACTAAAAATCGCGGGTTACTCACGTGTGGTTACGTCGACGACGAGAGTAGACTGCGTGCCATCGCCGCGTCCGCGCACGCTGCTCATGAGGAAGAACCCCTCTGTAGTTCGAAACTAGTAGAGCTTTTCTCAATTACACACGTACCTATGCAACCCATGATGTTTAGTTGATATAATAACATTCATGAAATAGTGGAGAAGTTTAGCAGTATTGCATTCGTGCGAAGCTGAGGTAGGTCGCTAGTAATTAATAAAATTACCTACGCATTAAAATGAAAATAAAATCAAAAGTTAATTGTTTCTAAAGAGCTTTAAAACGTTGTTTACTACTGTTTCGTAGAAGCGACAGCCGGGAACCAAAAACAATCTCTTTACATAATGAAGTAATTGAATTCTGGAAGTTTCCCATTATTTTATGGGCTTAGTCAACTTGTGTGGGAACTGAATGTGTTCTATTATCGACAGCCTTACAGGGACGTATTTAGATGCGAGTTTTTTCATTATTGTACCAAAATAACTTGATGAATTTAGTAGAGTTAATTGATGAATCAGTATTTTTTATTTCATAGGTCGAGAAACGAGCACACAGATTACCTGACGGTAAGCAATCAGCGCCGCTAGAGTTACGGTTGCATTGCCGACCTCTTATGTGTCATTAGGGATTTAAGGATAGGGAATTTGAAGATTGAGCTTGAGGGATGGATGACTTAAAAATCTTTCATAATGAAGATAAAGGAAACGATACTGAAACAATGAGTTTATTTTTGATAATAAGCCATTAAAAATAAGTTTTATTACATATAATGATTCAATTGGTATTTTTAAGACATATATATTCTAACAAGATATATATTCTAACAAGATGATGGTTTCTTTTGTCACCTAATAATTTCATTTTGGTACAGTGTGTCTAATAGTATTTAATGTCCTATGTCTGTGCCAAATTTCATCTAGATCAGTCCCGCCGTTTCGGCGTGATTGAGTAACAAACCTCCAAACATCTTAAATTTCGCATTTATAAAATTAGTAAGATTACAATCCTAAAGTTAAGATACGTTTTTAGTTTTTTACTTCTTTCTTTCTTTTCTATAAGCGCTGTTTGCTTCTAACTCCAGTTTAATAGCTTAATTACTGAACTAGATCGTCTCATTTCAATTTGAACCTTCTAAATGCGACCCTGTAGAAATAAATACGCACCCTTTTGAATTTAGAACCTTATTTAGTTCTTTGAATAAAATCATGTAGGTGCTTTGGTACACGCTTAGTGTCAAACATTTTCTGACTAAAATAGAATTAGGAACAATCTGTTGTAAATAAGATTTGTTTAATTTGTAAATACTACGATTTTACCGCTAGATTAAAATGGTTTGTGTAAATTGAGGCGATAACATAAAAACCAAAGCGTCTTTATAGTATATTGAGCAAGTTTGCAGGGTTTATATATATTTAGGGGAGGATTGCTGCACCAATGTGGGAGAGCCAAGCTTCGGCACGGATGGGTCGGCTCAACGGGAGTGATACCACGGCCTCACAGAATACCGACGTAAACAACCACAGCGTTGTTTTGCCGTGGGAGTGAGGTTACCGTAGGCCCAATCCTTCCCCTTCCCCGATCCTCCTAATCCCTAAATCTCCAAAACCCTAATCCCTAAAAGGTCTGCAACGCACTCGTTACTCCTCCGTTGCGGTTGTCCATGGGCGGAGCTGATTACTTACCATCAGGATATCCGTCTGCTCGTTTGCCGACCTATACCATAAAAAAACCATCTCCGATTGTTGAGTCTCCTAGAGCGGCTGAGACGTGGGAAGGATAGTTCCCTCTCGCATTCCACCTAGTTGTTTGATTACTGCTTCGTAGAAGAAAGAGATGGCCACCTAGTTCTTTTTGCTTCGCATCAATGCAACGCAATTGATAAGTGGTGATTTTAGTCTTAAAATAAAAACAATTGATGAATAGTACTTGAACATTTGATTGAAGATTTTAGGATTTTAATCTATCAGAGATTATCTGTATGTTCGAAAAAACAACATTAATAAATTTACAGTTAATAATGTACTTTCTCTAACTATACATGTCTGAAGCTTCAAATATAAAGGGTTTCTAAACAAAACAAGAACTATTTACATCCTTAGTCTGTGACTATTTTAAGCTAGATATTTATCATTGTAAATGGTCGTAGCGTGGTCGACCGAAAGCCGGCTTTACGTTGATTTTGTGACCAAAAATATTTGGCCTTCTGTGCCTACATTAAGCCAAAACATTTGGTATTCAGGATGTGTTTGTGACCCGTTGTAAGCATCACATTTATATGTACATCTCTTCTCAATGTGTTTGCAGGAAATAATATGTTTTTTTTATTCTATACTCGTAGTGTGACACACTATGTTTGTGAAGCATATTGTTCTAAAGTTATTTATCTTACATGTAAAAATAAGTTGTTGTTCGTTAGTTTTGCTAAAACTCGAGAAGGGCTGGTCCGACGTGGCTTATTGCGGTCTTGAAATATTCCTGGATATACAAGGAAGGTTTAAAAGGTTAGAAATATATATAGGTTAATTAAGAAAACATTTGAGGCGATACGAAATTTGCCGAGTCAGCTAGTCTTATATATATGTATACATAAAATTAATTTCAGTCTCACTAAAACTCGAGAACGGCTGATCTATTTTGGATAATTTTGGTCTTCATATGTTCGCTGAAGTCCAGGGAAGGTTTGAAAGGAACATTTGTTGTATTTGAGGCAGTAAGAACCTGCTGAGTTGACTAGTTTATTCAATAAAAAATTGAGCAAAAAACACTAGAAACCCAAAGTTTTAAATTATACCTAACGTTTGTGTTTTTTAGCTAGTTTTTGAAAACGGTCTGCAGAAGTAATGTTCGATAAAGAACGACGCGCCGCGAATTCTCTCGTGCCTATAACCCTACTTTTACTTACAAGTTATAATGATCATAAGTGGGTACCTACAGCCGTAAATAAAACAGCGATCCCTTCTTATAGATGGTGCTTGGAGCTATGCCCCTGGCGGTGGCTGCCATCAACCGGGAGCCGAGTCTACTTCCCGGATACAAACTGCGATTTGTAGCCGCTGACATCGGTCGCTCTAGGCCACACCTACCAATGGACAAGGATAGTCTCACACTCCGGTAAATATATATTGTAGTGTATGTAAATACATAGTTATTGTTGTCTCGAGCGTATACGTCACAACTGGCATCCGGTGGAGTGGGCAGTCGGTGTCAGACGGTTGAACTGGTAACACGTGGTGGTACGTTGGCGAGCCAAATAGTATAATATATTATATATCAGTGAATACTACATATATATCATAGTTTATATAATTATTTTTTTTTTATATGTAATAGGTCGGCAAACGAGCAGACGGATTACCTGATGGTAAGCAATCAGCGCCGCCCATGGACACTCGCAACGGAGGAGTTACGAGTGCGTTGCCGACCTTTTAGGGATTAGGGATTTGGAGATTAAGTGATTGAGGAGGGGTTGGGGGAGGGGAAGGATTGGGCCTCCGGTAACCTCACTCACACGGCGAAACACAACGCTGTGGTTGTTTCACGCCGGTTTTCTGTGAGGCCGTGGATGAATTATTATCTAGCTTGATGGACTGACGGTATCCGCAGGGTAGTAGTGGTTGGATGAGAAGAGCTGAACATCGAGCTCAGTGGCGTGCAATTGGGGAAGCCTATATCCAACAGTGGACGACATCAGGCTGATGATGATGATGATATAATTATTAATTTATATATTAGCTAAATCAAAATGCTTACACATACTCTACCCCGGGGTTTCGAGTGTAAGCGTAATATTGCGACGTGGCTACGGCTAAAAGCAGTAGAAGTAAGAAGTTTCTTCTGTGACTCTTTCTCATCACATACAGAGCGAGAGAAAACATTTCTATTGGATAGAATTATGTCCTCCGTAAAAAAAAAACTACTTCTATCAGTAATTTAATATAAATGGTATGTCAATAATATACCATACTAATATAAAATAAATACTACATAATTAATATCCAACACTTATATGCAATATTTTGTAAAAAATCATGCAATTAAGTTGAAAAAGTGTACGTAAAGAAGTACGTATTACCTTGTGTTGTTTTGGCACCGCCTTTTGAAAATAAGACGCCGTAGCATTACAAGTCAGGCACAATTCCAGACTTTAAAAACACTAATACTAGTTTATCCGACTAGAAATATTTTTATCTCTCTAGGCTTTTCAGAAAGACAAAGGGTCTTTTGGGCAACTTCACCACCAGAACATTATTAAATACCCTTTTTAATTACCATCCAAAAAGGATTTTTATCGTAACACTTTACAAATATATAAAACAAAAATATTTTAACACTACATACCTTTGAATTATATACGCCAATGAATCAATGAATCATAAATTCCCATTTGTTTGGCTTTAATATAAGCTAATAAATTAATTAGCGAGTAATCAATCAAAAATCCTAGTGACCTGAATATTACAGGAGATCTGGGTTAATCAGCTTTCGACTAAAATGAACCCGGAAAACATATTTTTAATGTCTCTGAATTGAACACATAGATCTTATCATCATAGATTTAAGGTTCCAATTACCTGTCATTTTACTCCCCCATTAAGCAGCTTAAAAATACGATGGCAATTTTTACCGTATTTATTTTTGTATAGAAATGAAATTATATGTACATAAAGACGATGTCATTTTGTGTCTTTAGTATTAATTTGGTTATTTTTCTATAAGAAAATAAATCTTCCTTTTCTTGTACAGCTTCATGCTGAAAAGTTAAATTCAATGTTGTAAAAAAAATATAGATTCTTCTGACCTCTTAAAAGTGCAATGGAACTAATTAGAGCTAATGAACATTTTTAAATATCAGCAGTAGTTAATCCTATGGATGTCATATAAAATAACATCTTTTCTTTAATTAAAAGAAAAGTGTAATATTATATCGTTAATCAATAAACACTAATAGTCTTATGTTACAAGCGCTCCTAATCCGCTCTTGTGTTGATGAGACGAGCCGCCGCTCAGAAATAGTCTATTGGTTTAGATAAAATTGTTTGTAAAAATATTTACAATCAGCTATTTACCTAAATCGTCAGATAATAAACTTACTTTTTTTTTAAACATAAGAAAGGAAAAAGTTTTACTGTGGGGCAAACATTAGGATTTTCTCCAACTAGTGACGTGGGTGCGGTTACAAACACACAATTTCACATACACATGACACCCAGACCCGAAATTTTTTAATATAAAAAGACATACCAAGATGTTAAGAAAGACATACCTTTAGGGAAACACCTAAATCGATAGATCATAGACTCGTAGAATTCCGCGCGGGGCTCAAAGAGCCAACGGATTACCACAGATGGAGCTTAATAGAGCTGATGTGCAGCAGGGCTTGTGGGTCAAACGCAATAATTTGGCGACCCTGGCCTAGAGCAGGAGAAGGGACAGGGTGGTTCTTAGTCAATAAGATTCTGAAACTCCCTCTACTAAACTCACTAAATGGGGACCTAGGGTGATAGAAGCAACCAGACGATTATCCCCTCCTTAAGAAAAATGCCTCGAGACTTTAGCAAGAGCTGGAACGTGGTGTATTGTTGTTAGTGAAAGTTTGGCAATCCGTGTCGCTTCAGTCAGGGGCAAAAAGAGGCATTTGATGAGTGCTTTTCTAAAAATATGTAAAAATGTAATTTGTTCTTATTGCTCTTATCCATAACAATCAAACAAACCTTCATAAAACATGTATAAACAATATTTTTTGTATATTTGTATGTACTATTATTTTATTATGTTAAACCCTCTATTATATTTCTGTGGCACAGGGTAATGACACAAATGCGTGACCTGGGAGTGGTGGCCTTCTTCGGACCTGACGGCACCTGCCACACGGAAGCCAAACTTGCTGCAGCGTGGAACCTGCCCATGATATCGCATGTAAGTAGCTTCAGTTGAATATCCTTTGTAAAGTCAGCGTCAAATAAATATAGGTTCACATTCAGGGCATACATTGCTCAATCACATACCAACAAAATAAATATCGGTACAACATAATTTTATAATACTTCGATAACATTGAGTCAAACTATCTGTGCATAAATTATAGTGTGTAAAAAATTTTTCAACATAATTTAAGAAATAATTGAATCAAACTATCTATCGGTATATAGTATGACACAGATAGCTTGACAAGATAGTTGAAAAAAAATTTTTTAAGTAAATTGAAATTTTTTCTGCACTATTAGCGTGATGGTCGTGCAATGTTACATTTTGGTCCTGTACGCAAAAATCTTGTATAATCTAATTGATCCTAGTCATATCAACGTCATTATTTGAAAAGACGAGATCATTTGTAACTAAGAAGAAATATATTCAATAGGCTTACTTTATAAATAAATACGAGACTGGGGTAAATTTTGCCCTAAATATCTCTTTTATAAGATAAATTCAGGTGTTTAGCTTTATTGAAATTATTATAACTTTAGTATGAATGAATTAATTCATTCGCTTTGAACCATTTCTGTGAACCATCACCGAAAAGATTACAGGAAGGAAAATGAATCAAGCTAATAATACTATGAAACAGCGTTACCCAAACTTTTTTTCTTCCGAGACCCATTTTTCTGTTTTCAAATCGTAATTCTAAAATAAAATAAGTACATTAAGAAGGAGGAATTTGGTTCAACTGTTTGTATGTTCATATAACACGCTTTTTCTACATTCGGTTTGTTATTCCTTTTTGAGTTTTATTAATAAATAATCAACGAACTGTTTCTTTATTGATAAGTATAAAACTATAGACGAGTTTTTTCCTAATTCAAAAACATATTGTTGATTATATTTATTTTATTTAAGATTATACTATTGATAACGCGTATCGTGTATTTTAGTCGTGTATATTATCAATTAACTAATTAATTTTTTTTATTGTCTTAATCATTTCATTGAAACATACGAATCATTAATTTATTGAAATATTTTTAGAGTAATTTTAGTTAGTAATTTTGAACTTTAACGTTTCATAAAATTTTTTTCGTAAACAAATATATGTTGTTTAACAACATCTCCTATCTATCTCCTACATGATAGCCAGCACGGGTTTAGAAACGCTCGTTCAACGACTACAAATCTTGTGGCTCATGTAGACTACATTTATGCTGAAATGGATGCGGGTAGGCAGGTAGATACCGCCTACTTTGATTTTAAAAAGGCTTTTGACTTAGTTGACAATGATATCCTGTTGTATAAGTTGGCAGTATTGGGCTTTTCTCCTGGGTTGCTTAAGTTTTTCTCAAGTTACCTCCGTAATCGGCGCCAATTCGTTAAGGTTAGAAATTATATTACACTCGATCCGGAGTAAGTCAAGGTAGCAGCTTAGGGCCCCTACTTTTCCTAATTTTTATCAATGACCTTCCTCAGCGAGTCAGTCTTTCCCAATGTCTGCTGTTTGCTGATGATCTCAAGCTTAGTCTGGATGTCGAGACATCGGCAGATTGCGAAGCTCTGCAAAGAGACATAGACGCGGTAGAAGACTGGAGCAGCGAAAACCGTCTTCCATTTAATATCGAGAAATGCAAAACGATCTCTTTCTCACGTAAGCGCCAGCTGATCAATGCAGCTTACACTTTATCCGACGCTGCCCTTCAAAGGGTATCAGATATTCGTGACTTGGGACTTCAATTGGACTCTAGACTTAACTTTCATGACCATGTGACGGCAATATGCAAAAAGGCAAACAAAATGCTTGGATTTGACATGCGTACATCATCTGAGTTTAATAATTTAGGAGTTGCTACTGTTCTCTATAATGCCTACATACGTAGCAAACTTGAGTATGGTGGCATAGTCTGGGCTCCATCTGAGGAAAAATACAATATTATACTTGAAAGGGTACAACGTAAATTCGCTCGTTGGTTATATGAGAAAAGGTATGGCTACTATCCTTACTTATACCCTTCCTCTTTTGTAGCTGGTATGGTGGATCTGGAGACCCTCAAGTTCAGGAGGGTGGTGCAAACAATATTGCACTATCTGTCAATAGTGCACCATAAAGTAGACAACCCTATAGTACTAGGCATGGTGAGGTTACTTGTTCCCAGACGACTGGCATGGAATGAGCAAGGGACAGTTGCGGCGAGGCGTCGGCCTCGCCTTTTGTGGTGGCCTCAAACGCGCACCAACTATGCGTTGCATGCACCGACTGTTCGGGCACTGGGCCTTATTGAGGATATGATCGCTCGTGACAATGATATCGACATATTTGCTGACCACACTAAAATGCTATGTGCTAAAACCGAAACATTTGTCAATAATTATTTAATGTAATTTTATAATGATGTACTTTTGACCCGTGTGTGTGACTTCTACTATTGACATATTGTTTTTTTTTTATTTCTAGATTTTACTTTTGATATTTCGGACTAATTAATGATTTTGACATGTATTGTAAATATTTGACATTTATTATTGGATCTTGATGTTGTATTTTGTATTGTTTTTAATTTTTTTCTTGTTTTAATAATTGATGTGCTTTATATTTTAATTAATTGGCTTTCTGGCGTTTTGGTGCTCACTGTGAGCCAGTAAGTGCATGTTTAAATAAATAAATAAATATATTTATTTATGCGGATCTGCTTGTGACCACGACCTGTGCAACCGAGTCGAAACGTCAAGCCTACAAAGGTATTCAAATAATAATTTTCCGCGTTAATACCCGCTTAAATAAATATATATTTTTAATCATTTTACCATTTAAATCTAATAATTTATTAGAAGAAAATAATAATGCCTTGCTTCTTTTTGATAGTATTATAATGCGCATAACTAATTATATTCCTACTAATTGTATTCTGTTTTCTTAAAGTAAAATGTTCTTGTCGAGACCCAAAGTTTGAGAAACATTGATCTTAACATTATTACAGAAAATATGAATATAAATTATTCAGAATCAGTATAATGAGTATTACATCTATTGAATGGATACATAATTAATAGTGTATAGGTATATTACGGTAGTTAATCTAAATAATAATATTTGTTCGATACTACTACATGAATAAAATAATATCATTGTTGTAATTGAAAATGCATTTGACAAATAACAAACTGATTATGTGAATAATTCAAGATAGATTCAATTAATATTGACTGACGCACGCTATGTTGTCATTGTGATTTTACAATCAAACTCTAATCTGCTTTCATAGTTTACAAGCTTTTGCCCGCGACTTCGTTCGCGTGGAATAGTAACTTCCCGCTGATTTTTGGTATAAAAACTATCCTATGTTCTTTCTCGAGTTCCAAACTAAGACGTAGGTTACCAAATTACACAGATATTGGTTCAGTAGTATAGACGTGAAGAAAAGACAGAAAGACGGGGTTACTTTCGCAATTATAATGTTAGTTTGGATTACATGGACAGGATGACTTTTACAGTGGTACCAGAGTTTTTTCAATACCTAAACATTAATGTTTTTATAAGATTAATGTTTTCTAATAAGAAAGCACTTTTTGTTTATTATTATTCTTTAATTTTGAACAACATTTTGTAAGGAGTTACTAGCTTCTTTGATGGGCAGACTTACATATTATTCTGAGTATTTCTTTTGATTTTCGGATTCTTTATAATCTACATAAATAATTTAGTTACTAAGAAAGATGTGCAAGTGAAATTTCAATTTATTAACTGAGAAAAGGTCTACTGGTTCCATATCTTATTCGTTCAAGAATTATTCATGAGCAGCGTGAATATCACGGCGACTTCCATGTAGCCGACTGATTGAATTAATTTACGTGTGTTTTTAATATTTTTTATGTCACACGATTTAAATTCTAATAACAATATTTTTGTCAAAAACGTTAAGATCAAAGTAAGAATATCATCATTTTATAATGCGATAGAGAACTCACAAAAATAAATACTTATCTGTATTTGAACATTCTTGTCTGAGAACTTACAAAAATAAATATCTATATTTGAATATTCTTTTCTCATACAAGGTATAAACTCGTTTTATAAACAAAATAATTTACGTGATCTGATAAAAGTAATTATGTGTCATAAGTTTAAATTTCGTCACGTCACATTACGTTACATTTTGAAAGTTAATCAAATGTATATTTTGATTAACGATACGTGACGATAATGAACATCAAAAGGCACTTATCTAGACCCTTTTACATATCTAGCATTAAAATTGTGTTCTTAGAAGAGGCAATCAGATAATTAATAGTTATTTAAGCTAATGTCATAAATGTTTTGACGATCAATTAAGAAATTAAACTTTGTTTTCACGGTGTGAAGATTTAAATTTGATTACAAAATGGTTCCTTTCAATTGTTTTTAATGAATGCTTTCATACAATCACGCAGTAGTATGATTTTCACAGTTGACGCGGTGGTTCGGCTATCGGCCGTAGAACGTGTCTTAGGCTCAATTCTTGTACGACATAGGTCTTTATGTGATTCCCAATCTGATATCTGCTACGACTTTCAAACATTCAAAAAACGTGTATACTCCTTTTTAAAAAGGCTGCAACACGCTTTTTACTCCTCTGGTGTTGCAGGTGTCTATGGGCGGCGCTGATCACTTAACATCAGCTGATCCGCCTGCTCGTTTACCTCCTATTCCATAAAACAATGTAAAATTGTATGTTTTTAAGCGTACCCCCCAAAGCAGGTATCTTGGTAGGCACAGTTTTAAAAAAAAAACATTAGAAGAAGTTTTAGTCGTCATCTGTATCTTTATGGCTGATGAATTAATACGGCTACTGCTTTGGTATCAAATTAAAATAACTGACTTCGTTGCACATTGACTCCGACAGTGTGCCCTCTAATTTGTACCAGCTTGTATAGCCAAAATGGTTCTCCAAATACTATCTACATACATAAACCTTATTTATGTACCTAGTACGTACGTTATTTTGGCTTCGACACAAGAATGTCTAATTAGCGGTTTCGCCGAATAATAATAATAGCATGATTGATTTGATCACTGCATGATAATTTATGTTTATGGATTCAGATGTTTTTCTTTGAATTTAAAAAAAATATTCTGTCGATTTTCATTCGATGGAAAATATGTATGTATATGTATATTTGCTTTGTTAAATTTGGAAAATTTCAATAGTAATTTTTGTAGTAAATAAATAGTTTTTTTTGTAACTTTATGGCAGACAAATATTGGGATTGGGATAATAGGATTAATAAATAACAAATTGGAGTTTCTTCTGCATATCTACCTACATGTTGGAATGAGTTACTAGATTCACTCTTAGATTGACGCCCGGATTACAAAACTAGAAAGTTTCTGATGAAAGGAAATTTAAATAAAGTAGAGGACATAATTGGACCATAGACACCCTTTCGTGCTTAACAAGTTTGTTGGATCGGGCTGCTAATATAATAATATTGAATTATTAAAGTAAATATTTTGACCTTTGTGTAGTGAATGCGAAAATTATACGCCTGCCAATCCAGATATAGGAAATTACTGGTGAATGCATATTACTAATTGTATCGCCTCTGGAGTATACTATATATAAAAAGCATTTATACCTCTAGGGATTAAAATATCTTATTAACTGTGAAGTAGTTAGTGATGTTATTATAACTTCAGTTGTATATAAATCCAATTTATCCTTAGTAAAGCCATAGAAGGGACAAGACAAACTATATTTAGTATCTTTACAAAAATTACTTCAAAAGAACTGCCTTAATAGTCGTATGGTAAGTACGATTACCGACCGAAGTCTCTCGTTGTAAGGTTGAGTTTAAATTATTTAGATTTGTACATACCACATCTTTACTGTCCACTGCTGACTAAAAACCTTTTCTTACATGAAGAAACTTGAGCATTAATCACCACTCTTGCTCAAGGCGGAGTGGCTATTTCAATTATAAGAAACAAAAGGTCCAGGTTTCCTTGCGATGTCTTCCTTTATCGTATCTCTGTGGTGTTTTAATGAACTTAAAAAGTACACAAGTCTCGGAGAAGGTCTCATTGATCGCCAAGTTTCGAACACACATGAGGTTGGTATGTAGATTTGGATCACTTTTTTGATATTTTGACTGCAGTTGAACGATTCCAGAACGACACACCTCATTCTAGGATTCGAATTTGGTTGTTTTACATGGTGTGATTTGTATATCAAATTGTATGTTTGTAAATGCACCCACGGCATTGAAGGAAATCTTACTTGATCGGAGATTTATTTCAGGACGGCTAATCCCTGATGTATGGGAGTCATACCGGTGCCAAGAGTGTTCACTTCTGCCGATGCCATCAGTGTATATACGGAATGGCGTAAATAAACATTTAAAAGTAAATCTGTAGGCTTAAACTTTTGATAGAGAATCCGTCCTACGCTAGTTCTATTGCTATACTATAAACTTAGTTCAAGACTTTGATAACTTTTAATCAACCAGCCGCAAAAGATTTTCCATTGAACTTAATTACATTAGAACAGCGGGTAGTTTGATAACTGTTTTGATGAAAGCAACCAGACAAAGAGTTCGTATTTTAAAACGATTTAAATTTAGAATCTACAAAGGTCTGGTCAAAGGTCCTTTTGGATTTTGAATTTCGAACAATAATATTGTGCGTGTTGTACAGGAAAATACAAATTTTTTTTGTTTGTAAAATAATCCACTGAATTGGGAACAACGACCTTCCTTATATTAAATCAGTACAATTGAAATAGAACCTTAATTAAAATGAAATAAAAATCCATGTTGCAAAACCGTGTATTTTTATTAATTCAGTTATTTTGTTGCTTGGCAAATAAATTACATACTTGGCGTAAAGTTTTTTAATCAGTAGGTAAAAATCAAAAGGCCTGCAACGTACTAGTTCTTGGCTTTGATGTTGAAGGTATCTGGGGGATAACTTAGTATCTGGCCAAATCATTTAAAAAAACTTACTTAACTTACTGCCAAAATTTTGCTTTGCTTCACACTGAAACCGAACCGGAACCTCATAGTCACACTTGTGACCATTTACGATACAATAACAAATAATATCTTATCATTTGATACTTTGTGTAGGTGTTTTCACACTAATCGACCCTGTAACCTTTTCATATCTACGCCGTAGACGGCTGCTACAAGAATGCCTACGGCGTAGACCCTCGTAGCCAGTTTCTGAGAAACGACAGGGATTATAATGCTTGTAGGTCGATGTAATAAATTAATTTGGACTGTTCATTGTGTTTTGAACTCTGATGAGTCTATGAAATGACATGATATAGGATTGTGTTTTTAATGAGCTAGTTTAAGCTAGAAGTTGAAAATTGATTGGACTTAATTTCAAATATGCTACTACTGAGAACTTTTAAGTACAGCATTTTCGCAAGCTACTACAAATCATTAACATATTCCAATCACTGTAGCTATGCGTTTTAATTGTAAGAAATTGGACCATCCAATGGACATACGGAGCTCTAGTGGAGTGAAACATGCATTGCGGGTCTTTTGGCGGTTAGGTATTTGGGAATTAACAGTGGGATGGGGGTTGGGCGAATTGGGTCCCAGGTAACCTCACTCACACTTTTACGCTGGATTTCTGAGCCATGGTATCATTCCGATCGAGCTTTTTGTGCCACAGCATAGATCTTCCACATTAAATTGCTGCTGCTTATCATTCACCTGGAGTTAAGCGAGGTTACTTATGATTTAACGGTACCCTACTTCTCCAGAAATGGGGATGCTTCTATAAATACTTGACTTCAACTATTTGGTACTGACCTGTTAATTTATCCTTGAGGTCTAAGCTTATATGCACTGTGGCTCTAATCTAGAATTTAAGGTATTTAGGTTAGATGGAAATCATAGCGGATACTATCTTATTGCTTTGGTGATCGTATGGTCACAAGTGCGCTAGGGGTCGCAGATACGATTCCAGGGTTGGGTAAATTGCTATAGGAGAAATTTTCTTACCTTTTGAGAAGTAACATTGAGTCTGGAATTGAACTTGTTATTTGAAAATAGACGTTACACGGTACTGTATCACTTCGTAACTCGTAAAAAATTAGGATATATATTCTATTTGTTTCATAGCGCCTATCCTCACAGATAGTTTAAAATCGAGACTTCTGCAATCTAATATAACAAAGGTTTTTGGTTGACAGAAATGTGCAGGAGCTCACGGATCTTTTGAGAAGGGGTCAGGTCTTGGAGCTACCTTCGCAAGGACCTTACCTCCAGCTTACAAAGCTAGCAAGTCAGTCGTGGCGCTCCTGAAGGCATTCGGCTGGTCCAAGTTCGCGATAGTAGCTGGTGATGAACTGACAGCTGCTGCACAGCAATTGGATGCTATTAAGGTGAGTCTGATGTTAAACGGCCCTGTGTCTGTAATTTCAATACTAGGCATTGTTTTTGTATGGAGACAGAATAAAATAAAACATATGTTATGTCTTCATAATTAAATCTTGTAGTATAATTTTTGATGATGATTACGCGAGCGAAGCTGCAGGCTAAGTGCTAGAATATTAAATTTAGCCTCAATGGATAGGCATAGGCAATTATCTACACGTGATATATAAATTACTGTTACGTGCCTGACGTCACGTTCCTGACTACGCGGGCTTGGGTTACGGGATTGGATGAAATGAAACACTAATACCGGTTTTCAGACTTTCTATTGCACTTAAGTTACAGCGTCCACGGAGTTAAGTTATCGGCGTTCTTCTTCAGCAGAGTCCGGCCGACTGACACAACTTTGCCGTTCACGCTGACTTAACTCACTTAACTGACTGCACTTCACTATTTCACTGCACTTCACTATTTCACTCACTTTTCTTCTTTTTCACTTCTTCCTTTTCTTCCGAATCACTTTAGACTTAGAAGTCAACTGCCAGCGGTGAGCCGCAGTTCTGCTTATATACCCCCGGTCAGGTTCTGGAACATTCAATTTCGTTATTCTTTTTGATCGTCATGCCTCCAGAACCTTCCAATAATTTCGCTATTCATTTTTATTTATTCTCCTTCTCACTCTTTAATTTTTCATCTCTTTCACACAAATAATTCCAGAAAGTTCGACAAAACTTCCATCAACTAAAAAACTTCATGTTTACGGCGGGACTCGAACTCGGGGTCTCTGTGGTGTAATCCACACGCCTTACCAATTACACCAACTCGTATTGACAATTCACGACGAAATTTACAATCTCTAGGCAACGTTTGACAACCATCCATTGACGTCATGATGTCAAAGAGTTTTCTGTCACACTGCCCCCCTCTTAGATTCGCTCGTCCCGAGCATCGTTGCTGCCGTAATACCTCGCCAACCTGTCTATATGGACAACTTTCAAAGGGCTCCTTGAAGACTTCCGAATTCTGTAAGTAATGTCATTGATCTTCGTGACTATCTCGTAAGGACCTTCCCAACTCGGTTGCAGCTTTGGAGATTTTCCCTTCCTTCTGACTGGATTATGAAGCCAGACCAATGACCCCTCTTCAAACCCAACAGAATTGGCTCGTCGATCATAGCGCGTCTTTGCGCGATCACTAGCTTGAAGACCGGCCTCCCTGATCTGCTCATAAATGTCCAACATTTTTGCCCTTAACTCGCTTATGTAATCGCTAAACTCGGTGCGAGAGTCACCAGGTGGACAGCCCGACACAAGATCTGCCGGTAATCTCAATTCCCTTCCAAAATTTGCAAATGCAGGCGTCTTTGCGGTACTTTCATGTACAGCAGTCCGATAGGCAAGCAAGAAGAGAGGTATGTAAGTGTCCCAATCTCTCTGATGGCTGTCAACCACCTTTGCTAAGTGTCGCTCCAATGTTTGGTTGAAGCGTTCGACCATTCCATCTGACTGTGGATGATAAGGGGTCGTTCGAGTCTTATGGATTCCCAAAAGTTTACAAGTTTCCTGAAAAACTTGGGATTCAAAGTTCCGTCCTTGATCACTGTGCATCTCCAAGGGTACTCCAAATCGGGTGAATACTTCGTTTACCAACTTCGTCGCTACAGTTACTGCCTCTTGATTCGGTATGGCAAAGACCTCCGGCCATTTTGTAAAATAATCCATAACCACTAAAACGTAGCGATTGCCCGAATCAGTGATTGGAAATGGTCCAGCGATGTCTAAGGCTATTCTCTCCCAAGGCATACCAACATTGTAGATTTTCATCGCCCCCCTGCTCCTTGTTTGTGGACCCTTGACAGCTGCACAACTAGTGCATTTCCGGCACCAATCTTCGACGTCATATTTGCAATGCAACCAATAAAACCTCTCCTTGATCTTCACCAAAGTCCTCCTAATTCCCAAATGTCCTCCAGAAGATCCATCATGGAACGCTTTTAATACATCCCTTATTTTTGAACGAGGCACCACCAATTGCAAATGCTCGTCTTTGCCGTTTGTTGATTCCCATTTCCTGCACAGAAGTCCGTTATGCAGCGTAAGGCTTTTCCACTGTGCCCATAAACCTTTCGTTACCGCGCTATATTGGGCGACGTCACTCCAACTTGGCTTGTTACCACTTCGTAGCCACTCCAGTATTGGTTTAATATCTGCATCTCTTTCCTGTTCTAATTTCATCGCATCATTTCCCCATGCCTCGTCAACAGTATCAGTCCTTATCACCTTAAGAAAAGCAGTTTCCTTCTTAGCACAATGTTTGCAATCTTCCACGCATGGGCGTCTCGATAATGCATCTGCGTTGCCATGAATTCTTCCGCCGCGATGTTCGATTTCAAAGTCAAATTCCTGAAGTTGTTCCAGCCATCTGGCTACTTGGCCTTCGGGATCCTTAAACTGAAGCAGCCATTTCAAAGCAGCGTGATCAGTTCTGATCAAAAATTTCCGTCCCAGTAAATACTTCTTGAAATGGTGCAGGGTTTTGACTACAGCCAGCAATTCCCTCCTGGTCACGCAATAATTCCTCTCTGGCTTGGATAGTGACTTGCTGAAGTAAGCAATAACCTTCTCCTGCTCACCATCGCGTTGTGAAAGGACACCTCCTATTCCAATATTGCTGGCATCCGTATCAACTACGAATATTCCTTTCGCGCTGGGATATCCGAGAATTGGTGTGTTACAAAGCCGTTCTTTTAGTTCTCGAAAGGCTTGCTCACAATCCTCGTCCCAAACAAAGGCACGTTTCTCCTCTGTCAATCGATGCAATGGCTTGGCAATGTCCGAGAATCCTTTCACAAACCGCCGATAATACGAGCACAATCCAAGAAATGCCCGAACTTGCGTTTTGTCTTTAGGTGTTGGCCATTCCTTGACAGCGACAGTCTTGGCTGGATCAGTCTCAATTCCTCTCTCAGAGATAACATGTCCTAGATAATTCACTTCGCGCTTGAAGAAAGAGCATTTCTTTGGACTCAACTTCAAATTTGCTCCACGCAGCTTGTCGAGTACCTTTTCCAATTTCCTTAGATGATCGTCAAAATCCCGTCATCGAGGTAAACTAGGCAGGTTTCGCCCAGCAGACCCGCCAGCACCTGTTCCATCAAACGCTCAAAGGTTGCCGGTGCATTGCATAATCCAAATGGCATCACCTTAAATTGCCAGAGTCCCTTCCCAGTTGAGAATGCAGTCTTTTCCTTGTCCTTGGGATCCAAATCCACCTGCCAATAGCCGCTTTTCAGATCGAGCGTTGAAAACCATTTCATGCCACTCAGTGTGTCAAGTGTGTCATCGATTCTTGGTAACGGGTAGCTATCCTTCTTGGTTACATCATTCAATCGTCGATAGTCTACGCAAAACCTCGTTGAACCATCTTTCTTCTTGACAAGCACGACAGGTGAACACCAGGGGCTAGAAGAGGGCTCTATCACGTCATTTTTCCTCATATCGTCAATCATTTGTTCAACCTCTTTCTCACGAGCGAATGGTATGCGTCTGGGCCTTTGACGAATTGGCATTGTATCACTTGTGTTTATTTTATGCTTCACCACACCAGTTCGGCCAATATCACCATCGCTTCTTGAAAACACATCAGAGAATCGAAGAAGTAAATTTCTAGCTTTCATAGTCTCCACTTTTGTCAGACTTTTGTTTTCGTCTAAGATTTTCGTTACAAAGTCTATTCCCGTACTATCCTTTTTCACAAGATTCTCTGAGCATTTTCTTATCCAGGCCACTTCTTCCAATACGCCCACAGGCTCTCCTTCTTCAATCGTAATTTTTGAATCACTGAAGTTGAATACCGGAATGCGGTTGACATCAGATGACCCCACGACAGTTCTTGCCGGTAGCCATGAGTTTACGTGTTCCGATTTATCAATCACAGCGCACCTTCGAGGTAAACTTCCTTCCCTCCTCCTAGGTAATGCGATTGGTACGAGAGTCTGTGATTTTGGTGCAAGAACAGTTCTTCTTAAACAGCAAACTTTTCCTAGGGTTCCACCCTTCATCGGAATTTCCTCAGTTCCACATAGTAATACTCCAGATTTTAAGTCGATATTACACTGGTGCCCTCGCAGGAAGTCAAGTCCCAGGATGCAGTCATCCAGAATTTTGGCCACAATAACCTCATGTCGATAAACACGTTCCCCAATTTTGATTGTTACATGCAATTTTCCACTTATCGGTATGCACTGGCCGGTAGCTGATTTCATTTGTAGGCCAACAATTGGTTTAAGGTGTTTCCTGATGTTTTGCTCGAGCAGCCGAACATTCATCACCGTCCTTGAAGCTCCAGTATCTAATGTTAGCTGACTGTTTTTCCCATTTACTTGACCGTCTATCACCAGAGTATTTCCATCGTTAGTTTGCTTGATGTAGATTGTTGGGGTTATTCCACTACCTGCCAGCGCCCACCCCGCAGCCCTGGCTGGATTTAGTTTCCCTGCTGGTCAGAAGTTGAGACCGCCGCGTCCTGGCGGTTCACCTTCTTCGGGCAGTTGCTCCGCATGTGCCCACGCTCTCCGCATCCATAGTACATGAAGTTCCGACGGCGTGAAGGTACCTGCTCCGTTGTCGTCATTTCCCGCAGACGTAAGGTACGGGAGTTACCACGCACGGCTTCCACTTCCAATGCATGGGCCAGAGCTTCTTTCATGTTCTTGTGATGGCCCAGATGAACAGCGGCTCGTACTTCGGGGTCCCGAATACCGTCAATGAACGCTTGGAGAAGCGTGCCTTCAATCATTGACGGAGTCGACCGGAAAACTCGACGCACAAGTTTCTCGATTTCCACGGACCATTGCTGTAGGCCCTCATTAGCACGCTGAGTACGCTCTTTTAATTGCGCTCTGTACACGTGCTCGAGGTGGCTGTCTCCAAAACGTGCCTCAAGTGCGTCGAGGAGGGCACTAAAGCTGAGATCCCCACTTGCGCCGATAGCTTCCAGCACTGAGAGCGCTTGATCACGGAGGGCCAGGGTAAGGGCTGACTGTGCTTCCTTCTGAGTCCAACCATAAGCCTCCATAAGTGTCTCAAACTGTAGCTTGAACGCGGTCCAGGATGTTGTTCCGTCGTAATGGGGAATCTTAAGCCCTTTCGTTGCACTTGAAGCCGCATTTGGGGCTTCAAAAACGGCTGCAAGACGGCTTCGGCTCTTCAAAGGGCTTGGGCTTGTCACTTCCTGCTTGATTTTGGAGATCTCTTCTTCCACTCTCTCCTCTATCGCCTTGACGCGATGTTCCAACTTGCCTAACCCTTCCTCCACTTCTTGTACCCGTTCGACAGCCTTTTGCAGTCCCTTCGTGAAATCCTTATGCATGTCTTCCAAGCGACGCGCTTGCTCCTCTTGGCGGCGAGCTTGATCCTCTTTCAGCTCCCGTAGCTGCTCCGCCTGACAGCGTGCATGCTCCTCTTGGCGACGAGCTTGCTCCTCTTGGCGAGGAGCTTGCTCCTCTTGGCGACGAGCTTGCTCCTCTTGGCGACGAGCTTGATCTTCTTTCAGCTCCCGTAGCTGTTCTTCTTGGCGGCGCGCTTGCTCTACCATCATTTGCTGCAGCTGTAGCAGTAGATCCACCTGCACAGGCTTGGCTTCTGCATCGCTGGTTTGAGCTGCAGCACTCTCTTCCCTCACACGCTGCGCTTCTGCCATTGCACGGGTACTCACTCCTCTTACGTCCTGCGGCACTAGCGGCATTTTTCTCCAATCCCACTTCTGACACCAAATGTTACGTGCCTGACGTCACGTTCCTGACTATGCGGGCTTGGGTTACGGGATTGGATGAAATGAAACACTAATACCGGTTTTCAGACTTTCTATTGCACTTAAGTTACAGCGTCCACGGAGTTAAGTTATCGGCGTTCTTCTTCAGCAGAGTCCGGCCGACTGACACAACTTTGCCGTTCACGCTGACTTAACTCACTTAACTGACTGCACTTCACTATTTCACTGCACTTCACTATTTCACTCACTTTTCTTCTTTTTCACTTCTTCCGTTTCTTCCGAATCACTTTAGACTTAGAAGTCAACTGCCAGCGGTGAGCCGCAGTTCTGCTTATATACCCCCGGTCAGGTTCTGGAACATTCAATTTCGTTATTCTTTTTGATCGTCATGCCTCCAGAACCTTCCAATAATTTCGCTATTCATTTTTATTTATTCTCCTTCTCACTCTTTAATTTTTCATCTCTTTCACACAAATAATTCCAGAAAGTTCGACAAAACTTCCATCAACTAAAAAACTTCATGTTTACGGCGGGACTCGAACTCGGGGTCTCTGTGGTGTAATCCACACGCCTTACCAATTACACCAACTCGTATTGACAATTCACGACGAAATTTACAATCTCTAGGCAACGTTTGACAACCATCCATTGACGTCATGATGTCAAAGAGTTTTCTGTCACATTACAAATTTTGCCCGCGACTCAGTTCGCTTGGAATACTCCTTCTTGCAGATTTTCGGTATGAAAACTCTTCTATGTCCTTTCTCGAGTTCCAAACTATGTCTGTACCAAATTTCAAGGAAATCGGTTCAGTATTTTAGGCGTGAGGAAAAGACAGACAGAGTTACTTTCGCATTTTTAATATTAGTTTGGATATAACCGGTTCAGTGTATTGTGATGATAATACCAGGTGTGTAACAAGTGCATTGCCGGTTTTTGGAAGAGGCATACTTTTGATTAAATTTTATTATTAAAACCGTAACGATACTAGGAGAGGAGGTGTCAGACTCCTTCTGACTAATAACCACCCCGTTCTGTCTCCTGCTCCGAGCCCGGCCATGGTACATTTTTGTGCTTGCACCTGCAATATAGACAAACCATTATCTACTTAGGTGTTTGATGGATAACTAGGCGTGGTGTTGATTTATATTAATTTTCACTAAAAGTTTTTTCTACGAACAACCAGTCACGACGTTTAAGTCTTGGAAATGTCTTTTGTAACCCATTTCTCACACAATGGTATGATGACCTTTTTTTTAATAATGTAATAGGTCGGCAAACGAGCAGACGGATTACCTGATGGTAAGCAATCAGCGCCGCCCATGGACACTCGCAACGGAGGAGTTACGAGTGCGTTGCCGACCTTTTAGGGATTAGGGATTGAGGAGGGATTGGGGAAGGGGAAGGATTGGGCCTCCGGTAATCTCACTCACACGGCGAAACACAACGCAGTGGTTATTTCACGCCGGTTTTCTGTGAGGCCGTGGTATCACTCCGGTCGAGCCGACCCATTCGTGCCGAAGCGTGGCTCTCCCACACTTAGCATGGCTCTCCCACCTTGAAGCGATATACACAATATTATCTGTATAATCTGAAAATGTTTTGTTATTCAGAGTTATTTGCATGAAAATCCCTTAGTACAGTATTAGAGCTAACGCCTTTAGAATTTTCTACAAATACCCAGACAGTACAGTTTGATTATTATTTCTATAAAAAATCTATATTTTTAGAAAAATATTTTGTCAGATAACGAGGTGACATAATTAAAAAAGATTTGTGTTTATAAAAACGAGGCTTTAATTAACTTTTAATACCTGTATTGAGGCTTAAGAAAATTGATATTTTTTCAATCTATTGATATGGGTGATACTTTTATAAAGCAACATTTGTATAGTTAAGTCCAACATTTGGTAAGAGTGAAACTAAATTATTGACTACTGTTTTGCTAAGTTATTGTTTGAGTCTTTGTATATGTAGGTAGATAGGGGAAAAAGTGAGAATAATTCAGTTTCTTTATACCGGTTAAACAGGTTTATTTCATGGTTAACAAAGTGTATTTAAATCATTTGCTGATTTCATCGTAGTGCACAACGTTGGAAATGTTTTAAAGCGATTCCTTAGCTGGTAAAACCAGTATTTAAACCAGATACAAATGGACCATATACACTATCGCAATCTATCACGAACTTAATCGAAAGTGATGCTTAATAATTTTGGAGAACTATCGATTCCCTCTTCCCCTACTGGAGGAAGAAATTATCATTAAACATTTTTTTTCTTATCATTAAACATTTTTTTTCTTATCATCACCAAATCTTCAAAATCCAGTAGGTCCCTACGACGCTTGAGTAACTACAATTTATTTAGAACCCATGTCTGCCATCTCCCCTGGTAATTGTAATCACATTAAAATTTTACATTTCACCTAGAACACCTCGAACTGAATCTACAATATCAGAACCACACAAAGAATTATTTTGTACTCCACTCCCTTAGCACTTATAACATTCGGAATCAACACGTGTCTCTGAGGATACAGTAAAATTTAACAACGCCATTAATTTAACACTCCGTTAGCCATGTGTAGAGTACATTAACTTCTGTTGGGTCATCTTTTAATGGTCTTTACGAGGTCATGTACAAAATTATCATGAAAATGTTTCTGGAAACCAATTAACCGTATAATAATATCCTTATTTACGATTTCCTGATCTGGCGAACTTCGTACCGTTGAAAAGGTACACTTTTATTTCAAAACTTAATTGTGATAGATTAATTTCTTGTCACTAATGTGTATCTAATGACACTTAGGCATAGAACAGTTCTCAAGGGAATGAAAATTCATGGTTTTTCTAGTTTAATTGCAATGTACGAAGCCAAAAGTAGCCAATGTGTTCGTCTAGACTCTAGGCGATAATCTACATATATTTATGTCATATTTCATTCAAAAGTATAGAAGTTTTTAAGTAAAAGAGTAAACGTACTCGTATATAAATATCCATTCATTTATAACTATACGCTTTCGTGTTTAAATTACAAACAGAATATTTTCGTAAAAAAAATCGTACAGGTCATTATTAAAAGTGTACAGATCGCTATCCAATCGTACAGTCATATTTGCAAAGTGCAGCAAATAAATTTATAGTATAAAAATGTTTTTCTTTTTATTATTTGAAACTCCATAAATAAATAACATTTATAAAAAAGGGCAAGCTGCGCCATATGCAGCAAACTCGTCTAATTTGTTTTGTTTTTTTTAAATAAAAAAACGTTGCCCCACACTAAGTTTTTCTCCTGTATCGTGGGTGCGTTTACAAACATACAATTTCACATGCACATCACACCCAGACCCAGAACAACAATCTGTGGATCACACAAAGAGTTGTTCCGTGCGGGAATCGAACCCGCGACACGTTGCGTGGCAGCCAGTTGCCCAGCCACCGCGCCAACCGTGCAGTCAAAACAATTAGTAACAATTAGTTTAGTATTAATTTTCGTAAACTAATGCTTGATTCTATTCCGCGCTAAGGATCTCAAAGTATCTACTTACCTTCTACATTAGTGAATTTTTTTGTTCCCAGGAACTAGCCCAGTCTAACGGCATGGTGATCACTGCAGAACATAGGTTCGCCGACTACATCCCACGCCTAATCTCCGACATGGAGAGAATCGTGGACCAGACCTATCATAAAACAAGAGGTGAGTCGTGCAATCATTTAGTTATCTATTTTTAAACAATAATACACATTTTGGAACTTTGGAACATTTAATATTAACCTAGTTAAAACAAAAAAAAGTCACTATAAGCACGGTAAGAGAGCGACGGTATCTCGCCACCCGACCAGAACCAGACTTCGCCCGTTACGAAGAACGTAGCGTTCCGCGCGTGTTTCAAAGAATCAACAGACCATGACTACAACACGTCGAGTCTATAAATTTTGTTTGATTTTTAATCTTGTTCGAGTGTGAGTGACGGGGTCAAATTTTAGAATGCCACTTAATAACGTCATCTCATACTTTATCTATCAAAATGTTGCTGTCAATTTAGTTCAACTCGCAAGTATAGCGCTAGTGTACTCCTACTTACAGTGGATCGGGATTCGAAGTATAGAATGAAGTCTTATAGAATCACACTGCAGATAGTGCCCTCTAGCACCGTATCCAGCCGAGGTTGCGGGTGATAGTGCAACAATGTACCGTGGCCTCGGCCTAGAGCAGGAGAAAGAACGGGGTTGTTTTTAGTCAGTAAGAGTCTGACACTCCCTCTCGCTCCATGCAGGTTGGAAGAAGCCATTTGATAATTATACGTCAGTTCGTCAGTTCTACTAGACTATCTATCGTATGTTTACAAATTTCATTGACCGATGCGAAAGGTTTTTCTCTTGTTCTTATATACTTGCCTTGTGTACTTAATTCATAAATATAATACAATTGAGAGAGGGGATTGGTCTCATGTTACGAATTTGATGTTTGATATCTACTTTTAATATTCTATTGGTTGAATTATCAATAGCTTTGATACAGTTTTAATTGCCCGTAATTACGTACATATGTAATTAGTAATTATATACTATTATTACGTAAGATTATATATTATTAGAACGTAATAGCTGCGTACTTATGTATCATAACATAACCACACACAAATCAATTAAATACACATCTCTATTTAAGTCTTATCTGAGATAGTGACAGCACTAACTGTGATGTTGACGTTGACGCTGTAAGCTGTGAAATGTGACAGATAAGTCCCTGCATTTTCCCGCCTTAATTATGTGTAGATTATTCGGACATAGAGTTTGATCTATGTTTTGGGAGAGCCATGTTTCGGCACAAATGGGCTGGGTCGACGGGAGTGATAGCAAGGCTCACAGAAAACTGGTGTGAAACAACTACAGCGTTGTGTACCGCCGTCTAAGTGAAGTTACCGGAGGCTAACATCAAATACGAACTTATAGAATGCACAGTCAACTCGGTGGCTGGGAAGCCGTCTGCCATGCGACGCGTCGCGATGTACTCGGAGCAACTCTTTTTGTGATCCACAAATTGTTGTTCCAGATCCGGCTATGGTGTATATATTTAATTGTTTGTTTTTAAACTTACTTAAAACATAGGAGAAAATCGTAGAGAGGGGCGTAATCGTTTTTTTAATAAGGATAGACATAATCACAATCTTTGTATTGTTACACTGCCCGATTTAAAATCGTACTTTTTATCCTACTAGGATATATCCTTTGTCTTAGTTACGTTTACAAACATGCAATTTTACATACGCTTAACACCAAGACCCGAAACAACAATTTATGGATTACACAAATAGTTGCCGTGCGGGAATCGAACCGGCCACACGCTGCGCTACAGCCTTCGCAGATTTTTATCTGTTACTTGCGAAAGTTCGTTATATTTGAAATTTGAATGAACCACCGTACGTTATTTAATTGCTAACCCAGTCCTTTTTAATTATTACAGTATAAAGTTAAACAAAAGCTAAGACAACTACGAAATGTCTTTAAGTATGATAATCGTATTTAAAGATATTTCGTAATCAAACTATAATCCGCAAGTTTCCAATTTCATTGCAAGAAAATATTCTCTGAATTTTGGATACGGAAAGAAAATAATCTAATTTGAACGCCATTTTAACACCAAACAAAATGAATGGATTTGAACGTAATTCGGTTTCACGGTCCTTTGAATTTGAGGGATTTCATTTGATGTATCGTATTTTACGAACGTGATTATAAAGGGTTTACCTGTGTGTGGGTGTCATCAATGTTGTAAAGGTAAAGAATAATAATTATTATTAATCCGAAATTGTTTGTTGTGCTGCATAATCTGAAATTACGTTGACAATGAAATTATTGAAAGAAAAATAATTTATATAATTATGAGTGTGCAAAAAGGTTTTAAATACTTATAGTAAAATTCTATTTCCTCCCGTCCAGCTTCACTCACTACTCTTGGTCGTAGCGTGATATTTTATAGCATTTCTCGATTAATTGATCAATCCAATACAAAAATTTAAACAAAGAAATAAACTTTACACTTTTATAATGCTATTAATAAAATACTAGTCTCTGGAAATACTCTTCTGAGAAATAAAAGCTCATAAAATACTTTATTCTAACTCTAAGCTACAGAGTTACAAGAAACCGGATATCACTACATAGTTCTGTAAGCCAATATCTAAGTCAAACTCAATCTATTTCAAATGAAAACCAGCAAAGATTATAACAGAAATAAAAATAAAAGTATCCTTGATTCGTATTGGGATTTTCAGATCGAATTTAAAATTGAAGTTCAAGTTCAAAGTTTTCATGAAATTATCACGAAAATGAAGTGTTGAAAGGGCAAAAATATTAATTTGAAATAACTCAACGTCGAATCGTGATAAATGTTGTTTATATTGTTAAAATGAAATGACTTATTGAAATTATAAAATTGTGAAAATTTTCCCAATAAATTGATATCAGGAGTGGAATACACAGAAGGTCAATTCAAAATAAATAAGGTTATTTTTTGTGGTAGATCGACAAACAAGCAGATGGATTACCTGATGGCAAGCAATCAGCGCCGCCCATGGACACCCGCAAAAACAGACGAGCTACTAGTGCGTTGCCGTCCTTTTGGGGATCAGAGAGGTTTGGAGATTTATGTATTGGGAAGGAATAGGGAAGGGGAAGGATTAGGCCTCCGGTAAGCTCTCTCTCTCTAACAACGCTGTGATTGTTTAATTACGAGTTTCTGTGAGGCCATGATATCACTCCGGTCGAGTCGGGCCTTTCGTGCCGAGGCATAGCTCTCCCCTTCTTAAAATATAAACTTAGAGATTAATAAATGACAAATATTGTTTCGTTCACTAATAATTAATGTTAAATATTTCTACAAATCAGACTTTAACGTAAAGTATTTGTAATTCCTAATTTTTTAGTTGTTTTTTCTAATGGACTAGCACCCGGTTTCCGAAAGGCCGATTAATGTTAAAATCAATTTAATCTCTTGTCAAGTCGTCTGATTGGTTGACTGAATTATCAATTACCAATCAGATGACTTGACAAGAGATTTAACAGGAGATTAGTTAATTTTAGCGTTGACAAGCCTTTCAGAAACCGGGTGTTGCTGGTGTTCTTATTTTAAATTTTCAATTGTTTTACTGTATTCATCTGCTGTATGAACCCTGACCTACGAGTCATGGTTTAAATAACTTGTCATCGAGTGTCATGGCTGCGCTATCATTGAATTCAAGTGCAAGGCCAGTCGCTGACACTGTAAATTAATTGCTTTCTGACTAATTAAGTTTATCTTTTTACGGGACCAGATTGGTTTTAAAAGTATTTTTTTAAATGAGCCTAATGGTGTGAATTGAATGTTTAATTACATAGCAGCTACTTAGTAAGCATTGATTAGTTAGGTATACCTACAGTAAACTTTATTGGTTTTTCGTTCTGATTTATGATGATGTTTTGTTTATATTACAAATATACAATACTTGTTATATGCAGATGAAGAAATCGCAGATTGAAACATAGGTAGACTTAACTATAGAAAAAGTTATTAATAAAGTCGAAAGTCGAAAACCTGGTAAGTAAGTCCAAAGTTTCCACCGTAGTCAGATGAAAGGAAAAAGCTATATAAAGGCCATAATACATTCTGAATTTCCAGAAGCAATATTTTAGATCTTAGATTCTATAGAGCTTTTGGTTTTCGGCTTTAGTATTTTAATGTTCGATTCCATTCACGCGACACAGGGTCCCGGACTTTTGGAAGGCGTACGAGGGGCCGAAGCCAAGTCGCAGGGGTCCTTTGAACAACTTTAATCCAAACTAATATAATAAAATCTGTCTGTCTTTTCTTCACGCCTAAGCTACTGAACCGATTTCTGTGAAATTTGGTACAGACACAGTTTTGAACTCGAGAAAGGACACAAGATAGTTTTTATACCAAAAAACAGTAACTGCAGGAAATCACTATTCCATGTTAACAAAGTCGCGGGCAAAAGCTGGTATAATATAATTTTAATTATTGTTCTATGTTATTATAAATTATCAACAACGAGTACACGCCCTTGGCTTCACTTGTATTAGACGCGTTATCTCGTTGAACCCCTACATAAGTTAACTGTGAAGCATAATTAAGAGATTTGATATTAGTAAACACTTTCTAATCTTAAGATGAACTCGAAGTCAAGTACAAAGTCTGAAGTGTTTATTTAAATCAAGCAACTTGTAAGCTCTTTTGAAAGGATAAAATATGTTAAGATATATGGTTTCGTCAAAAAATATTGTTATATATCATACAATGATTTTACAATCCTTCATACTTCATACAATGATTTTACAATCTCCAAACTAAAATTATAAATGCGATAGTAACTCTGTCTGTCTGTCTGACTTTTCTTCACGCTTAAACTACTGAACCTATTTGTGTAAAGTCTGGTATGTACAGACATAGTTTGGAACTCGAGAAAGGACATAGGGTAGTTTTTAAAACAAAAACTGGAGGTAGTCACTATTCCACGTGAACAAAGTCACGGCCAAAAGCTAGCTACATAATATACTAAACTTACCAGTAGATTTTGAAAAAAAAATGACAATAAACAGACAACGTTACAGTTCACAATCATTTACAAAATGCAAAAAAAAAATGATTTTGATAAGTAAGTACCCAGTTTTCCGTCAGTTGGTTTGTTAGTGAATTAG